CCACCACCAAAGACATTTCTCCCTCCCCACCCTTATCTGCTTTCCAGGGGGACCACTCTCTCCGTGACTCCCTTGTCCGCTCCACACTCCCCTCCAGCCCCACCACACCCGGCACTTTTCCCTGCAACCGCAGGAAGTGCTACACCTGCGCCTACACCTCCCCCCTCACCCCCATCCCAGACCCCAAGAAGACTTTCCACATCAAGCAGATGTTCACCTGCACATCTGCTAATGTGGTTTATTGTATCCGCTGTTCCCGTTGTGGCCTCCTCTACATCGGGGAAACCAAGCGGAGGCTCGGGGACCGCTTTGCAGAACACCTACGCTCGGTTCGCACTAAACAACTGCACCTCCCAGTCGCAAACCATTTCAACTCCCCCTCCCATTCCTCAGATGACATGTCCATCCTGGGCCTCCTGCAGTGCCACAACGATGCCACCCGAAGGTAGCAGGAACAGCAACTCATATTCCGCTTGAGAACCCTGCAGCCCAATGGTATCAATGTGGACTTCACAAGCTTCAAAATCTCCCCTCCCCCCACCGCATCCCAAAACCAGCCCCCGCCTCCCTAACCTGTCCTTCCTCCCATCTATTGCCTCCTCCCACCTCAAGCCCCACCCCCATCTCCTACTTACTAATCTCATCCTGCCCCCTTGACCTGTCCATCCTCCCTGGAATGACCTATCTCCTCCCTATCTCCCCACCTACACTCACCTTTACTGGCTCCATCCCTGCCTCTTTGACCTGTATGTCTCGTCTCCACCTATCTTCTCCTCTATCCATCTTCTATCCGCCTCCCCCTCTCTCCCTATTTATTTCAGAACCTCCTTCCCCTCCCCCATTTCTGAAGAAGGGTCTTGGCCCGAAACGTCAGCTTTCCTGCTCCTCTGATGCTGCTTGGCCTGCTGTGTTCCTCCAGCTCTACACCTTGTTATCTCACATTCACCGGTACTCCCTGTTTGCAATCACTCAGCCAATTCTCTACTCATGTTACCACTGGCCCTTTCATTTCATGAGCTCAAACTTTACTCACAAGTATGTTGTATGGCATTGTGTTGAATACCTTCTGGAAGTAGATGTACATCACATCAACAAAATTATACTGATCCATCGTCTTGGTTACCTCATAAAAAAACCCAGTAATTTAGATAAACATGTCTTTTCTTCATTGAGAAATTTCTGCTGACTCTCCTTAATTAATTCACATTTGTCTATATGACTATTAATTTTCTCGAGTTTTCTCTACCTCCGAGGTTAAGCTGACTGGTTGCTGGCTTGTCTTTACACCTCCCTTGAATGAGGACATAATATTTGCAGTTCTCCAGTCCTCTGATAACACTCCTGAAGCTAAGGAAGATTTAAAGTTATTACTAGCTCCTCTACAATTCCCATTCTCATTTTGCTCAATATCCTTAGACACATCCCACCTAGTTCCACTGCCTTATCGACTTTAGGGACAGCCTGTACAAATCCTCCTTCTGATCAATTTTAATCCGTTCTCGTGACTGAGTTTCCTTCTCTGTCACCATGGCCTGGGCAACATCATAGGTAAAAGCATCATTGGTAAAGACAGATGCAATTGGATGCCCTCTGCCTCCATATGTTATCTCCTTTTTGGTCATTAATCAGCCCCACTTCCTCTTTTAGCACCCTTTTAGTTATATGCCTATAGAAGACTTTGGACTTCTCTAAATATTAGCTGCCAGTCTTTTTTCATACTCCCTCTTTGAACATAGAACATAGAATATAGAACATAGAACATAAAACAGTACAGCACAGCACAGGCCCTTCGGCCCATGATGTTGTGCCAACCTATTATCCTCCTAAGATCAATCTACCCTGCATACCCTACATTTTACTATCCTCCATGTGCCTATCCAAAAGTCGTTTAAAAGTCCCTAAAGTATCTGACTCCACTACCACTGCCGGTAGCGCATTCCACACGCCCACCACTCAGTGTGTTTGCTTCTCTTATTTGCATTCTCATCACTTCTCTGAGCCTTTTTATATTCGGCTTCGTTCTCAAAAATATTCTACACTTGACATTATGGGACACCCTTTCTTCTTTATCATAATTTCTACCCCTTTTCTCATCTGGGGAGTTCTGGATTTTTTGATGTACCTTCCCTTTTCAAGGAAATATATCTTGTTTGTGTTCACCAACTGTCTTTTCTGCCCTTCCAAGTCCACTCAAGCCAACTCAGCCCTCATGCCTTTGTAAATACTCTTATTTAAATTTAGCATAGTTATTTCAGACACATGTTTCTCCCTCAAAAACTGAAGAGTCAATAAAAGCGCAAATGGACTAAAACAAATATGCAAGGACATGGTATAAGATACAGCTAGGTACTGAGTTGTTGAGGAAGGACTTGAGATGGTGAATGTGTTCTTACTGGAAAAGAGAATCAAAGAGGAAACAAGCAGATTGTAAAGGTGATGTTCATTGGCAGTAGGTTCAAAGATGCTCAAAGTGCCACTCCCTGAGATTCCCACACTGCAAAGCGAGCATGACTTTATATCATACATCTCCATAACAACCCAGAGATAACAAGGTGTAGAGCTGGATGAACACAGCAGGACAAGCAGCATCAGAGGAGCCGGAGGCTGATGTTTTGGGCCTAGACCCTTCTTCAGAAAGGTCTGTAATCTCAGATTCTCCAGCATCTGCAGTTCCTACTATCTCCATTACAACCCATGCTGTGTCTGCCTCAGGCAGTTGTCAATTTCTATTTTACAGATGGTAGATTGTTACTACTTATTTAAAGTACTTTGAATAATAAATCAGTTCTGAGCAGATTTCTATGGGACTGGTTGCAATTGGAACTAAAATCTGGCTTTAGGTTTTCTGAAATGACGAGGCCATTAGTTTCCACACCTGAAAACAGGAAGGTGATAAAATATTCCTCCTTCACTCACTCCCTTCATTCCCTCACTCCCTTTTCATGGTACTGAACCCAGCTCAGCAGAAACCACTTGACTCTCAGACAAAATCATGATGATGAAGTCAATCCAAACTTTAGATATATTTTATTTTCATTACAAACCGATGTTGAAACACATCACCAAATAACTCACTCTGTGTTTGACCCTCTCTGCAATCCATGGGATCCTGCAGTGCACTTCCCCTTAATCTCCTATGCTGTGGGACCCTATTGCTAGAGAAGGTTTTCAAAAAAAAATTACTTCTCAAATCAGTAGGAGTAAACATTGAAGAACGATTCATGTGTTCCAACTTCTTCAATCTATCCACGTCATTGAGGTTCTTCAACATTGGGAACATTGTCATGAAAGTTTTCTGCACTCTAACGACGTTACACCTTTCCTTAAGTGTGACACCCAGAATTGGATGCAATATCCCAACTCAGTGTTTTGTATATAGGTTCAGCGTTATTTCTGAATAAAAGCTGAAAGAACTGCAGATGCGATAAATCAGAAACAAAAACAGAAATTGCTGGAAAGGTCAGCAAGTCTGGCAGCATATGTGGACAGAAATCAGAGTTCTGAGGAAGAGTCACTCGACCTGAAACGTTAACTTTGATTTCTCTCCACATAAGTTGCTAGACCTTCTGAGCGTTTCCAGCAATTTGTGTTTTTGTCCCTTGCTTCTGAACTCGAATTCCCAGTCTGATGTTTAAACAAACTTGGAAGGAGTGCTGATAAAGCAAATGGTCTCACGCAGACTCAGAGTGATAAAACTACACACGTCACTGTTTCACATTGACCTCCTTTTGCCAAATGGGACAATGCCAAGTGCAACAGTGAGAAGGACTAATAACTACTGCAGGAATTTGTCCGAATGATGAATGGTGTTAATGAGCTGTCTGCTACCTCGTTGTCACTGATTAATGGGATGGTCTAATTACCTGGGAGCTTCAGGAAGCTTCCTGTGAGCACTGAGCACATTCCTCTTTCCAAACAGCACAGAGAGCATATTTGACTGCCATCCGTAGCTGACACTCCTTCATCTGCCCCAGCAATTGAACCAAGACAGTAGCCCTAGTTCCCAAGGTAATCACATATCTGGCCAGGTCCAGCTCGGTTATACTGCTCAGATTATTTCCCCCTACTCCTCACACTTCTGAGGTGGCGTAAGTCTGTCTAGTGAAATTGGACTGAGATCTCAGCCAAGCTCATCCTGAGAAGTGATGTTAACTTTCTTGCATCTTCAGTCAGTGTTTTGAAAAAGGGGATAACTACTTTCAATCAATCAATCACTGATACCCATCGATCACTGATACCCTTGTCAATCATCAATACGTTAAGGGGAAGGTGATGGCCTAGTGGTATTGCTGTACTGTCAACCCAGGAACCCAGGTAATTTTTTTGGGGACCTGAGCTCAAATCCCACTATGACAGATGGTGGAATTTGAATTCAGTTTTTAAAAAATCTAGAATTCTGAGTCTAATAATGACCGTGAAACCATTGTCGATAGTCAGAAAAACCCATCAGGTTTACTAATGTCTTTTAGGGAAGGAAAGTGCCATCCTTACCTGGTCTGGCCTACATGTGACTCCAGACCCACAGCAATGTGGCTGACTCTTAACTGCCCTCTGGGCAATTAGGGATGGGCAAATGAATACTGAGTGATACCCACATCCTCTGGATGAATTTTGAAAAAAAAGATGGTGGAGAAGATTATAACAAGTTTGAATAAAGTAAACAAGTAAACGCTGTTCCAGTTAGCTGCTGGTATAAAGAAAAGGAGAGCCAGATTGAAGGTGTTGAGCAAGAGATGCTCAGGGGATGTGACAAAGAACTCTTTTACCCAGTTAATGTCTGAAACTGACTGCTTATGAGAGGGCTGGGGGCGGGAGAGTGAAGATGATGAAATATTACAAAGGAAATTGGATGGAAACTTGAAAGAAATAAATGTACAGGAACATGGGGATAGAACCTGGGGAATGGGACTAACCAGATTGTTATACTGAGAGTCTGCATGGACTTGATAGGTCGAATGGCCACCTCATGTGCAGTAATGACCCTTGATGAGGCAGGATATAGTCCCACAAAGACTGGGAAGTCAAGGAAAGTTTGCAGAAGCTGGGCACTAATACTTTCCACAAAGCTCACAGAGAAATAGAGCAGAAGGAATTCGATGGAAAATAATGGAGAGCAGTTCCAGCAGAATATTCTCAAACTGAGCCTGGGGAGCGCTGAGCTTCAACAGGTTAATATGGGTCACTACCCTCAGGGCAAACACTAAAATAGTACAGACACTTAGACAATCAAATTAACAGAGCATGGCTAATAGGGAAACAATAGCAGAATACAGCATCATTGAGCTGTAATGAGTTAGAGATGGACACAATGTTTATTTCTGTTTCTCTGCACTGAACTCAGGCACTGTATTCATCATGGGAGATGTTCCTAGAAAGGCAATTTCAGAGACATAGGAATAGCAGCCTGCAACTTTAACTCCTCCACTCCCGAATAAACTCTCTTGGAAGGAACAGAAGTCCCTCAGCTATTATTACAGACACTACCACTGTGTGTTCACAGGAATGATGTAGTTAATTAAATACAAACACCTCACAGAAAATCATCAGTGAGCCTTAACTGAGCCGGGAGTCACAGAGTAACTGATGAGAGGAGAGAAGGGCTGAGACAGAGAGAATTAACTTACTCATAGGTCTTAATGCCAGCATGTTCAGAACACAGTGTGTAAGAGGGATGGTTATCCTTGAATGAAGGTATCAGTGATTGATTAACAAGGGTATTTTCTTTTCATTCATTCGTGGGAAGAGGGCATTGCTGACTAGGCAGCATTTATTGTTCACCCCTAATTGCCCAGAGGGCAGTTAAGAGTCCCCAGAATATTACCCAGGTCTCCAGATTACTAGATGGTAGGAACTGCAGATGCTGGAGAATCTGAGATAACAAGGTGTAGAGCTGGATGAACACAGCAGGCCAAGCAGCATCAGAGGAGCAGGAAGGCTGACGTTTCGGGCCTAGACACTTCTTCAGAAAATTTCTGAATTTTTTCTGAAGAAGGGTCTAGGCCCGAAACGTCAGCCTTCCTGCTCCTCTGATGCTGCTTGGCCTGCTGTGTTCATCCAGCTCTACACCTTGTTATCTCCAGATTACTAGTCTAGTAAGAATACCATTAGGCCATCACCTCCACATTAGTGGGCCCTCTAATCTACTCACTATGTCCTTTGCTGCAAGAGAACAATCCTCCCTTTTCTAACCTTGCCTTGTCACTGAAACCCCTAATATAATATATTGAATGCTGCAAATTACATGTGTGCTTTAATATAACTGAGCACTGAGTGCTGTATTTTAATTGTGTGCTGTAATGTAACTGATTCTGTAATATAATTATGTTGTAATATAATTGAGTGCCGGATTTCAGTTGTGTGCTGTAATATAACTAAGTCTGTAATATAACTGAGCACCGAGTGCTGTATTTTACTTCTGTGTTTTGAAATAATGAAGCATTGAGTGAAGCAACATAAACTGAACCTTTGCTTCTTTCTCCTGTAGGTTCTGAATGATCTCGACACTCACCTGAAACAGTCTGAGTATTTCCGTCTGTTTTGGTTCCCTCACACTGATAAGGTCACAGTTTGCTACGCAGACCGTACGGATAAGGTAGAGTGATGGCTTATTTGTATTTACTCAGAATGAGAGACAGAGAACACAAAGTCAGGAGTTTGGATAGTGCCTTGGTGCAAATCCACAGTGTTCCTGCTTCTGTAGTCAGCAACACTCCTGACCATCTCCCTGCACTGAAGAGTAGGTTATAGATGTAGAGACACTCAGTTGATATGTGGTCAAGCCAAGTGGTCACTGACGCACGCTCATGTAGGCTGTGTGGAAAAAACAGAGAGGGTACATCTGTTTCAGGATCCTGCTAGCTTTCTTTAATTTCAAAGATATACTTTATTCATAAAAAAAAATCTTTGTCTATATACATTGACACAAAAGCAGTTCAGTTCTGCAGTTACATATCAAGTAAAGAACAAAACATTGGAGTCTGACTATACTCAAAACCATAAACCTCTCTTACACATACATTACTAATATTTACATACATTTGACACACTAGGAGGGTCTGAGAAATGAACAGACTCCCATTTATCTTCAGCAGGAAGACCTCAGACAGTGGTCTTTCCCCATTGTGCCTTGGCAACAGCTACCCCAAGCTTTAGTGCATCCCTCAGTACGTAGTCCTGGAGCTTGAAATTTGCCAGTCTGCAACACTCAGTTGGGATCAACTCCTTTCTCCGGAAGACCAACAAGTTTTGGACAGAGCAAAGAACGTCCTTCCCTGAGCTGAAGGTCCTCCGGGTGCAGTCGATGTTTGTCACGGTGTGCATCCCGGGGAACAGAGCAGAATCTCGTGTCACCAAGCTGCTCGGGATGAACCTTGACAAAAACCACTGCATCTTCCTCCAGACTTCCCTTGCAAAGGCACACTCCAGGAGGAGATGTATGACAGTCTCAACCGCACCCCTGCAGCTGTTTCAAGGGCAGCATGGGGTGGTGCAGACTGACTGGCTGTACATGAAGGATCTCACAGGTCGTGCCCTTCTCACCACCAGCCAAGCAATGTTTTGGTGCTTGTTAGAAAGTTCTGGTGATGAGGCATTCTGCCAAATGATTTTGACAGTCTGCTCAGGGAACCACGCAACGGGATTCATCCTCTCCTTTTCCCACAGGGTCAGAGGCTGCTGACCACTTCCTGATGGACTAGTGGTCAAAGGTGTTCTTCTTTACAAATTCCTCTATGAAGGACAAGTGATACAGAACGGACCAACTACTTGGAGCATTCTGCAGCGATGAGGCCACTCCCATCCTTCACAACACTGGGGACAGGTAGAACTTCAGTACATGCTGACGTCTGGTGTTTGTGCACTGAGGGTCTACGCACAGCTTGATGCAGCCACACACAAAGGTGGCCATCAGGATTAGGACAACATTGATTACATTCCTCACCACGTTATCCAGAGTTTTGTACATGGAGTCCCTGCAGGCCTGGTTTATCTTAGGCTTCTAGATGGAACAGAAGATGGAACAAAAACAGAAGTTGCAGGAAAAACTCAGCAGGTCTGGCAGCATCTGCGAAGAGAAAATCAGAGTTAACGTTTCACGTCCAGTGAGCCTTCCTTAGAACCCCCATCGTTCTGAGGAAGGATCACCGAACCTGAAATATTAACTCTGATTTTCTATTCAGAAATGCTGCCAGACCTGCTGAGCTTTTCCTGCGACTTCTGTTTTTGTTCCTGATTTACAGCATCCGCAATTCTTTTGGCTTTTATTTTGAAACAGAAGATGTTTCGGGTGGTTGAAGATTGGGAGATGGGCCAGACCAATGCTACGTACAACAACAGAGAGTACCTCACACCTGGTGACCAGGTTTTTACCCGCAGTGGAGAGGGAGTGGTGCTCCCAAAGAACCGGTTTCCACTACACCTTGGCGATAATCTCCTCCCAAGATTTCATGTACACTCTAGCCCCACTGAACCATGTTCCCAGCACCTTCAGATAATCTGTCCTGATGGCGAAGGGAATGAAGGATTGGTCGGCCCACTCCCCAGTGAACATGGCCTTGATCTTGCCTCGATTTACCTTGGCTCCCGACACCAGTTCAAACTGGTTGCAGATGCTCACGAGTCTACGCACTGACAGCGGCTCTGAATGACGTCATCCATGTACCGGGAAGCTTCAACCTGCAGGCCCCCACTGCCTGGAACAGTCACCCCTCTCAGGCTCGCATCCTTCCTGAGCTCTGTACAACGCACAAACAACACAGGAGAGACTGGGCAGTGCTGCCTGACTCTGGATCTGATCGAGAAGCTTTCAGATTCCCACCCATTGACTGAGAATGTGCTAACAATGTTGGTGTAGAGCAGTCAGATGCAATTGCAGATTCCGTCCCCAAAGTCCATTTTGGAAAGCATGTCCCACATGTAAGTGTGTGTTATCCTGTCAAAGGCCTTCTCCTGGTCCAGGCTGATGAGGCAGGCATCCACCCCCCACTGCCCTGCACATGGGCAATTGTATCCCTGAGGAGCACGAGGTTCTCAGAGATTGTCCTGCCTGGTATAGCACAGGTTTGGTCAGGGTTGGTCTCCAATCCCAGAACAGACCTGACTAGTTGGCAATGACTTTGGATAAGATTTTGTAGTCTGCATTCAGCAATGAGATTGGCCGCCAATTTTTAATTTCCTCCCTCTCCCCTTCCGCTTGTAGGTGAGGGAGATGATACCTTTCTACATGGGTTCACTCATGGTGCCCTGCCAGAAGCGTACTGTCATGCACCTCCAGCATGTCCTGGCCAATCAAGTCCCACAGAGCTGAATGCAACTTGGCTGGTAAACCATCGCTTCCGGGAGTTTTATTCTTTTCTAAGGACTCAAGGACCTTGGTCAGCTCATCCTGATCCAGCCTCTCCCATGTGCTGTTGTCTAAGATCTCCGTGATAGAGGACAGGAACAACTTGGAGGCCACGCTGTCCGTGCGCTTCGTGTCATACAGTCTGGCATAAAAGGATTTGCTGATCCTCAGGATGTCAGATTGAGATGACGTTACCGAGCCATCTTCTTCCTTCAGGCTGCTGAGCACAGAAATCTCCCTGTGCACTTTCTGGAAGAAGAAACGTGAGCATGTCTCATCCTGCTCCATGGTGCGGACCCTGGACCGGAACATTATCTTGGACGCCTCTGAGGCAAAGAGCGAGGCTTGCTGGTTCTTCACCTCCTGCAGATCCTCCGTGACATTGACCCCCACTGTCTGCAGCAGAAGTAGGTTCTGCATCGTTTTCTGGAGTTTGGACAGTTTTGCCCACCTCTCTCTCACCTTCTGAACACATTTGAGGATAAAGAACCTCTTGATGGTCCCTTTGACTGTTTACCCCCAGTCTGCTGGAGACTCAAAGAGGGGTTTCACAGTTCTCCAACCTGTGTAATCCCTTTTGAGCTCCTTAATGTTTTCTGGAGTCAACAATTCAACGTTTAGCTTCCATGTTCCCTTGCCAGCCTGCTCATCATCTTGTATGTGACAGTCAGTCAGCAGAAGGCAGTGCTCAGAGAAGAACACCGGCTTGACATCAGTGGATCTGACTGAGAACGTGTGGAATGCAAACAGGAAACCTAGCCTTGAGCGGATAGACCTGCCTGGCTGTGACCAGGTGTATCTGCGCTGTGCTCCACCTGCAGGGGTGCTGAAGATATTGCGCAGCTTGGCAACTTTAACCGTTTCCACCACGAATCTGGATGTGGAGTCCAGTTCACTGTCAGCCCCTCTGGATCATCCATTGGCATCGATGATGCAGTTGAAGTCTCCAGCCAGAATGACCGGCCTGGACGTCGCCAGTAGAAGTGGGAGCTGGTGCAGGATGGCCAGCTGCTCAGTCTGTACCACCGGGGCATACACATTAGTGTCAGGGGAGAATTCCTGTATGAAACGTTTGCTACGAGGATGTGCCTGCCCACCACCTCCTTAACCTCCTCACAGCAGAATACCCAGGCCGGAGGAAAAGCTATCATGTCCCCCTGACGAAATTGGAGGCCCATAAGCTCGACCATCTTCTGTAGTTGCTGTGGTGTGGTATCCCACACTCCTGCAGAAACAGGATGTCTACTTTAACAGAGATAACAAGGTATAGAGCTGGATGAACACAG